TATATTTATTAATCATAAATGTCAAAGCTTACCACAATTCAGTCATCCCCAGTATTTTAAAAAGAATTATGAAATGATTTTCAGTGTGTATCAACGTGTCAATTTTTGTAAATACGGATGTCCATACACGACATTATCAGAAAATAATTCGGTAATTTTAGAAAATTTAAAATTTATTTGTAATTTTCTAACATTTCCTCAAAAAGCGTCTTCGTAAATAAGATTTAATGCCAAAGCATGTAGCACTCAATAAAAGATTAGATTACTTAGAATATTTTCATAATTTTAAAAAATTACTGGGTAGTTAAAAAAATTATATATATATCCCTCAAGTAATTGTTACCGTAATTGTCGCACTTCAAAAAATTCCAAAATATAGTTCTATCAAGATAGTTGCCAACACCTCATAAAAACGCCAACCTTCTTGATAAAAATGCTTTTCTGTGATATTTTAAAGTAAACGTAAATAATATTCATTTCAAATCAGATTAAATAAAATTGGGCTCAGCTAATCTTTCTTAAATAAAGTTTGAGAAAAGTATATTTTATTTTTGAAGGATTTTTAATAAGAGAATGGCCAAAAATGACGAAAAACAAACATTTTTTAAAAATACTCATTGCAAACAATTTAATTTAGATTTGAAATACAGCAAAGTATTTCGCTTATTGGAAATATTAAATATTAAATTTATACTATTAACTTAACGGAAATTAAAACTAAAATAAAAGCTTCAAGAAAGATTTTTCATTTGTAAGAAATTAATTTTGAAATTTAATTTTTGCTTTTCTTTGGAGGTAGATATTTTTAATTTAAAAGCTTCAAAAAGGATTTTTCATATTTAAGAAATTCATTTTAAAATTCATTTTAAAACTAAGGAATCGTTTTTCTTTGGAGTTACTTATTTTAAATAAAAATGCTTCAAGAAAGATTTTTCAAATTTAAAATACATTTTAAAACATAGGCATCGCTTTTTCTTTTACATAATATATATATATATATATATATATATATATATATATATATATATATATATATATATATATAAAAAGGAAAATTATAGGAATTGCTTTTCTTTGAGGGCCTCTATTTTTTAACATAAAACATTACATGTTTTTGGTGACAGTTAAGGGTTATATTTTCGTTAATATCTTTTAAGGTTGTTTTTAAAAAAAAATTCTACGTGACTTTTTCCTCCTTTAAAGTATTTAATTCGAAAAATTAGGTCACAAGGTCATAGTACATAAATCGAATGCTGCTTAATTTAATGCACTAATTGCAAGAATTTCTTCAACTCATTTTTGATCTTTCAATTCAGAATAGTAACATTAACTTTTATACAGCTGTACCAGACTTTTCGAAAGTTTGATTTGCGCCATTTCGTTTTAACTAAAATAAAGCTTACATTTGGACAGATTACCATCGATGTCCGAAATAGCGTAAAACAAATGAATAATTACTATTTTAATTTACGGGGGGGGGGATTGACGTTCAACACAATTCGTAAAAATTGGGTCAAAAGGTCAAAACACAAATTGAATATTGTTTTTTGTTTATTGTTTATTTTTTTTTAATTTAAAGCCGTAATTGCAAGAATTTTTTCTAACTCAACTTTGACCTTTTGAATCAGTACAGACAATTATGTTTTTATACAAGTAAAATCTGCTTTTCGAAAAGTTTCATTACGCCTTTTCGTTTTTACGAAAAAAAACCCTGTGTTTTTTTACAGATTACCCTCGCTGTCAAACATGGCGTAAAACGAAAATACATTTAACCATTAAATTATATAAGAAAAACATTTTAGAGTTCCTACACACTGATGCGAAAAGAGCATTTTTCTTATTGGATTAGAAAAAAATATTCGTAGTGTTTTTAACCGAAAAAGAAATGGTTTATTAATTTTAACGCCTCCAAATCGAAACTATCCTCTTTAATCATGTTATATACTGTACCTATGAACATGTACCTATGAAATGGGTATGTCCCAATCCTTATAAATACGTTGGACACTAATTGTAAGTGGGGGTATTATGCTGTCTAAGTAGTCCACCACTAGCAGTGGTTTGCCTATTTCAAGCCGCTGGCGAGTATTGTATTTTGTTGATGTTATAAAGATTACCATTTCATTTCCAACCTCCATTTTGGTTATTCCTCATTTAGTAACCCTTTCTAGGTTATAACAAATCATCTTAAGAGACTTTCCTCCATTACATCATTAAAACATCAGAAAAGCAACTCTCATTCCTGTAGTGTTTTGTAGTAGCAAACAATAATACTTGATTGTAATAGAAGTTGAATCTTACTAAGCAAGTGTAGAATTTGGTAATAGTAACAGGCAGTACTCGACTGCAGTGGAAGTTGAGCCTGACTAAGCCATACCTCTGGTCAAGTTGGTAGGTGGGTTATATGGCAGCCTGGGAGATTCCATTCTGATAGCCAGGCCTGATTGCCTGCTGATTCCGGTGTGGATACTGTGCTCAATAAATAGCCATCAGTACCACT